ATAATCAAACCTGATACTCGGTCACTCTCGGTCAGATCATTGTCTCAAATCTTACAAATGTGCATAAACCAAATAGCCGCGTAAACTATGCTCGACTTCATTAAATTAGATATAAAAAACAAACATCAAATAGAATAATTACTCAGGCTTACCTTTCGAGATGCAATGAAAACTATCAAGTAAGGCCAGAATCGCTTCAGACTTTTCAACCGTCTTACGCATCAAGCAAGGTGAAAAACGAAAACGATGCCATCCGAAATCGGATTTCCGACTTTGCCAAAGCGACGTATTTCTCAACCAAAAACCCAATAAACAAACTAGCCATGAATAACAGAAGACTCTTGATAGCAGCTGAATTTCACTTTGTACATTCAGTGGAAAAAGACAGTTAAAAACATCACAAGTTGACACAAAACTCTGTCAGCTTCAGCTGTCAAAGCAAACAAGGTTTAAGATGCTGCATAAATTTTCCGCATGAGCTCACCTGTCAAATTTTGACCAATCAGAGTATAAAAATTGGACGTAGAGGGTGACCAACGCGTGACCTCGGTGAGAAAAGTCAAAAGCAACTGGCATGTCTTCCCTACCTGTAAAAACTGGCGGAATTTTAGCTTCCGAGGTCAGTTAGAAATAAAAAATTTTAATTCTGCGGCACATATAAAACACGACATATTTCATATGAATTTAAAAAATTAAACTTGAGCCTGCAATCATTTGAAAACTAGTAATTTGTCAGCGGATAACTTCAAAAAGATACTCGACCTCGATGGGTCGACACCCGAGCCCGCAATACGGTCAGGTGATACTGGTCAGCGGATACCCTGTTTTGACAGCTGTCAATTGATCACAACATTGATGTGCAATATGTCTGCAATATCAGTCTTCCTGTGCTCCCAAACTAGCTAGAAAGTGTGAGATTGAACATTGGTTGCCCTGTGGTGCGGACGGACGGGCGGGTGGTGTACGGTCACGTGATTACCAAATTTTCTGGGATGGGTAGTTTTACTTACCCATGGTGCTCCGCAGGCGCGCTTCGCGCGCCAGAGCTCCGCTATAAAGATATTAGAGAGTGAATTTGAACAAATTACTGCAAATTATCACGAAACTTCGTTGGAGCAATAAGGACAACAACAATTAACTGCAGAGTAAATTTCATTGATCTTTATTTAGTATTTCCTAGCAATTTTGGGATGGTATTTTTACCCCATACAAACACTGTAATTTTACTGGAACCGTACTGTGCTACTATCACAGAGCCTGGGTTACCTGTGAAAGTACTTGAATGGCTGAGGTTTAGAAAGATCTACGTCCTCAAGGCGAGGTTCAGCAAAAACTGCAAATTACTGACAAATTTCCTTCCATTTATAAGCTAGCCGAATTGATTTTGATACCCATATTTTAACAAAAATAATTAATTATTCTAATTTTTTTTAACAAAAAGCATTACAAAAGTAAATGAGTGTGTTACTAGTGGACAAATATGGCACACAATTCTTGCAATAAAGGGTGAAAATTCTCAATCTATATGTCTACGTGTAGTAGATATTTGCTGTTATTTTGAATTTGAGTAACAGACTGTTGCCTCAATAAAGTTTGCTTCATTTTTTACACAGTTTTCCAAGTGTTCGTTAGATCATTTTCAACAATTTAACACAATTACTGATATTATATAAGTTTTAATTACAACTTTTCGTTCAGAAAATTCTTGGGGAACTTTCTCCTATGAATTAAGCAATTTGACGAATCGATTTTAATTTTCGCACGGGAAAATTTAAGCATGAATTTAATAGACTATTTTTTCTAAGTAAAAACACGTGACGACAAAACAAGAATTTATTTCTATAAACTCCAAATGTTTTTAAAATTTCTGGCTTAATACTCATGATAGCCCATTGATTTTTTTCTAACTGAAAAATGGCTAAATAGAATATTGCAAGGAGCTCTAGAATGTGTTTAATAAATAAAGAAATTTCCCAGAATATATGTGTGGCTCCTCGGAAATAATCGTTTGCAAACGTACCAAATGTCAAGACTTAATAATTTACCAAGAAATTTAAAGGAAGTTTACCAGGAATCAAGATGCTGATTACCAACTTCCCTACGAAGGTAAGAGTTTTAACCTCGCTTGTCTCAACGAATTTTTAGTTCCTCTCTGCTGTGTCACAATAAAATGAAACTATAGGGGGCTGGTCGTTTATCACCTGCTGGGGGTGGGGTGGGGGGCGGCCATTTTGAGAAACCTTAGAAGATGTTCAAACCGAACCCCCACTATGACTTCATCCTAATTTTTTGAAAATGACCTCCATCAATTTTACATGTTGTGAAAGAGACCCCCATCCGAATATTTTAGCTAGAAATTGAGCCGAAGTTCACCAAATGCTTAATATTTACAGTAGTGTTAAAAGATCAGTGTTTTATATTATTCACAGCTTTTGCCACAGACCATTGCACGAACGATCGTTTTGTACCATCGAAAGTACTACTGATTATTCATTTTGCATGCTAAACGTAGTACTATAAATGAGTATTTACTCTTTCTTGACAAGTTGCATTCTTTGCGGCTTTGATCTGAACAGACTAGACAGATGAATCGCCGTCGGCTCCAAAAATTATGCAAACCAATGTCCTGCTAGAGTGTTCCAGTTCGCGTCTGACAGAATTTGTGGTAGGTGTCTAAGGTCCAAATACCTTTAACATTCGCCGGTTGAAATAAGTTGCGTTTCAGAGATTTATACAAAAACACTAAATTTTAGCTTATTTGGGGTCAGCAGTCTTCATTTAAGCGTAAACAAAAACCTTAAGAACGCAAATTTGTCCGAGTCAGTGTGGTTATTCATTTACAAATTAAGACGCTCGAGGGAAGTAACAACCGGATCTCGCAGGCTAGTCTTTCGCTGTAGTTTCAGCTTTCCGAAAATTAGTATTATACCTTACATTGATTTCTTAGCTTATTTATATATATAACAGGAAAATATATCTTTATACCACTTCTCATTAAATGACCCCCCAGGTAACGCTTCCTTTTCTGAAAATTACCCCTCAGCAAAATGGTCGGCCCCCCTCACAAATAATAAACGACCAGCCCCTAGAATTTAGCAGTCCCAAATAAAAAATAATAGAGAATCCTTGGATAAACTAACAACTACAAAACTTGACATTTTAGTGGTTCAATAAATCGAAGTTAATTTGTTCATAGCTTTGAAGACGCGCTAACACAGTATAAATCATGCAAACAATGAAGTCTCAAATAAAAATCATACGATGAAAATAATTTATATTTGCAGTAATTCGTAAAGTTCCGATGAATACGTCAATAAACTTTTGCAAAAATATAATTGCAGTTGGGGTCAGACTAGACAGGAAATAATCCAATTTAATTCATCTTCAAATAGCTCGGAGCATCCTTCAGCTCAGAATCAGAGATCTTTATAGTTTTCCTGAAACATGCACATGGGTCAGCTGAGTATGCATTTCAAAGCATGGTCCGAAATTATTTACGTATCTTCGACTCGCCGCAAAAAGACAATGCGGGGATAAACTAGACCTTGTCATGCGAAATTTTAACGTGTTTACAGACAGTATACATCAAGTCATAAAAGAAATAAACATATCATGACCAAGAAAAATCTTAGTAGAGCGCCTGAAGACTGCGGCGGGTGTGCACATGCCACAGTCTGCAGTCTGTCTGGGTAGTGCATAGTCTGCATTTCGGCTAAAAATCGAGTGTGGGAAACACAAGGGCAGCGTTAACGAAAACATGTTAATCAACAACAGCAGTTCAACTGTAAGTTAAAGGCGTCAGTACAAGTTGTATTCTCTAGAGCATTCTAAGGCGCCATTCTTGTTCTGAAACCCTATCGTTTTCGCGTTCATTTCCGTGGCAACATCACAACAGCACTTGAATTCGACCGGGTTCAGACTTTAGTGCGAATTCACTGGCTTACTCCTGACTTTAGACTTGTGAAACAAAAAGATAGATATTCTTAAGGACCATGTAAAGAATAAGTAATTCTTGCGTTAGTGTGGTTACAGGGAAAGAAACATTTTTATTTCATCCTTTTCCGTTCTTACCTCCCAAACGCTGTAATGTTTTCCCAATGTACAAAAGTCAAGTTTGCATTAATCCTTACCTGTAGTTTCTTGAAGAAAATATCCTCATCAACGTACACTAACAGTGTAGAAGGCTTCTACAAAATGAGTTATTTCGTTCAACTATTTCCCTTTACAATGCCCAAGACTGAACAACATGACGTAAGCAATAGATTTCCCCGAATACATTGTTTTTGAAGCTTCCAGGGAAACAACCAACCACAAAGCTGATTTGTGCCCAAATAAGGACACTGGTCGAAGTTCATTTACTGAGAACCTTCTGAGCGTCAGATTTCACGTGTATTTTCACGTGAGTTTTGATAACATTTGTTGTAAACAAACTCCGCAAGATGGGACATCCCTTTTCTCCCACATAATGTACTTTTACATACGAACTACGACCACGAGTCGCCATTCTATTATCCAAAGAAATGACTTGATGCAAGCAATAGACTTCCCGGAAAATATACTCAAGCTTCCAAGGAAACAACCGGTTTGCAAACAAAGGTGATATTTATACCCAAATAAGGATGCTGGTCGAAGTTCATTTACCGAGAAAAATTCACTTTCTGAGTGTCAAATTTCACGTGTAGTTTCACGTGACTTATAATTGTTGTGGGACATCTGTGCGGACATCTGCTCTCTCATGGGAACAGCAAATGAAGCTGATTACCGCGCCTAGAATTCCTAGAATTTAATAGCCAGTTTTCTTTTGTTTAAAAGGGAATAGGAATGAATTGTTGCATGTACTCTCGAACATCAATACACGTTATTTTACGGCGTATTTCCGGGGAAATTGTTATTTAGATTTCGTAACAATACACAGATATTCCTAGAAAACTTCAACAGACTGTAAAACACTTTCCCTGATACCCCTGCTAATTTGACTTCAGTTCCTCCTGTTCTTGGTCATGGCATTCTCCACGACAGCGTCTGGTCACTCTGTTCTTTTGTACAAAGACGAAGCACAGAAAGAATTTGTTACAGGAATACAATGGCTAGACAAGGCAGTTGAAGTTCTCTGTAAAGCTGATATCAATACAACTACACCGGCGAAGATTGTGAAAGCAATTGCCCAGAATTTGAGTCTCCCAATACGTCAGGCCCACACACACTTAAACACAGCATTAAAGTTTTGGGAAGGCGAAAAGGCACGTCAATGTGAAGAAACTGAGAGACTAATCTCCTCCATTAGTAGCTTGAAGATCAATGTTTCTGAGAGGAAAATGAAAGTAGAACAGATGAATCAACAACTTCAGGCTCTGAACCAACAAATTAAAGACAGCGAACAAAATGTTGAGCAAGCGAAAAAAGCACTCAGTAATGCCCAGGACACACTTAACGATGCTGAAAGAGTTTTGAGAGACAAAAGAAGAGATCAAGCACTTGTAGCAGGCATAGGAGTTGTAACAACACTAGCAGTTCCCATAGTCGGTTTGATTGCCGGGACAACTGCCATAGTCGGTGGGATTGTCGGGCCAACCGCGGTGGCGGTAAGCCTTACGGTACTCGAAGATAACGTCAAATCTGCCCAAAGTGGCGTGAGCTCTGCTAAAGATAACGTAAACCATTTGGAAAACTGGTTGCAGGCAAAAAAAAGCGAGAAAAATAATCTTTGCCAACAACTGAAGAGTGAAGAAAAGGAGAAGCAGATAACAGAGCAGCGATTACGAGATCAAGAGCGTCAATTACAAGATCTCAAAATGGCTCAACAAAGGTCCATCGAACTAAGTGATAAACTGATGAGAACGTGCCATGTAATGACAAACATTTGGGGGAAGAACCAAGTACTGAATAACGAAGCTAGCCGTGCGTACTCCTTGGAACCGTTACTGACACCTATGAAGGAAATAGTTGACATGTTTAGACCTGAGGAACAGAAAGAGATAAAAGAAGACACTTTTTTACTGTCGAAAGAAATCGACTTCTCCTCCATAACGTGGAAACTGAAAGCTGTTTGTGACGCAAACGCTGATAGTTCAATCATGGCAATTTTGGGTGAATATTGCTAAGGTAACTATTTAGAGAGTGCTGGCATGACTGCCAATAGCATTCAAAATATCCTTTAAATTACCAACAAAACATAACGTATATTTTAGAAATGTTTACATTTAGGTTCTATAACACTTGTCACATCCAGTGTTTTTATATTCCTCAGTGAATTTGTGTGAAACTTTAATTTAGGTTTATAGTCAAAGAGAATATGAAATAATCGAGATAATCTAAATAAAACAGATTGATCCAGATATAAACTAAGTTTAAGAATGTATGTTTTCGTTTTGCCAGATAAGCCGAATTCATATATTAAGACGTGTGCGTAGACGGAGAACTCTAAAATATGAATTTACCTATTGGCATGGTGCGTGTATGAATTTCATAAAGACAAGAATGAATCTTACAGATTTAGCTAAGACCCTCACATGCATGGAAAAGTTATAAAATGTGTTTATTAATATGTCCGGGTAATTGCCGTAGTTTGACTAATGGTAGATCGACGGAAATATTATCCTCACCCAAGACTTCACCCATATATAATTAGTGGTGTTAGACTTTTAGCTAGAATTCAAAATGTTATTTCTTTTTTAGACCTCATTAAGTTATCGGTCTGCTGGCAACCAGTCATAACAATGTCTCAACAAGAGTGCTTTAGTGGCACAATTACAAATTAAGCTAAATTATCCTATCCAAGAATGAAATCATTGAACTGGAATAGTCCTTTAAGATAAAAGGAAAATAATAATTCACATCTTAGCATCACATGATTTCTAGGCGGGAGATGAAAATGAATCAAGTCTTGTTAAGAATACACCTTACCCGGAAAAAATTATTTACCTTTGCTTTCTCAAACTCATTAATAATTCATAAAGAAAATTCAAAGGAAATTAATGTTTAATGAGTGTTTGGATATCAGATGAAAAACTGCTCATTTTTGCATCCTTAATTTCTCCTTCAAAAATGATTTTGTTTGAGAAGAAATATCAAACATTCGACACGGTGTTTCATCACCAGATGAAACACCTCGAAGTTCGTCCAAAATACTCCGCCGCGCGTCGTATTTTCAACTCTCGTCTCGGTGTTTCATCTGGTGATGAAACACTGCATCTCATGTTTGATATATTACTTGAAGGTATGATTCGTAGTTTGCATGACGAACTTTGAGCCGCTCAAAACCTGTTATGCAAATTAGCTGCGGGCACATTCAATATGCAACTTAATGCCATGGTTTGACAACTCTCGGTTTTTAAGGTGTTTACCGAACGCCCTAGGACTTCAGTAAATCGACCACAAAAGAGTAATTCAAGCTACTACACTCAGTTCGTGTTCGTACTACGATCGCTTACAGGGATAGGTTCACGGCTCAGCGCATGCTCATTTATCAAAATGCTGTTTTTCTGTCAGGACATGCTGTATCGTCTATGCAAGCAATATGGTCATACCATAATGTTGTCAAAGAACCAATCTGCACAATCCCCTGGCAGTTACTTGCACATCATCAACTTAAATATTTGCAAATAGCTGTTAACTGTAAATTAATCAACCATGGAATAAAACCTTCGGGTCAACAATAAATTCAACGTCGGTAGTGTTGGCATAATCCACTAATTTTTTCGGCGATTTTATTACTCCTCCATCTTACTTCATGTTTCTCTGAAATACAATTCTACTTTGAAATACACTCTGAGATCGCTGAGATACATGTGAGTGGATTATTAACCGATAGAATTAATAATAAATTGGAAAAAGGTAATTTAATTAATGAGCATGCTCTTAACCGTGAACCTGTTCCTAATAAGCATCATGGGCGGTATTTAAAATCTGATTATTGGTGTCAACAAGATGACGTGGAGTGTATATCTCGACTGCGGAGTGAATATTTGTTAATTACGCTAAAGAAATATACGATTTTGCTTTGAATCTCTTCCGGAAGCTTTTGATAAACAAAGTCTGTTGAATTCTCAGGGAAGAAAACAGTCTCATTCAGTTGATAAGGGTATTCTGGTGTATTTTGTTCGTAGTCACTTATTGCATCCTGTTTGCAACTGACCGAGAAAAGTCGGCCAGAATCGCTTTGTTCAATGTTCTAATCATGAAAAGCACTGAAGTAAGACCCGCGGTTCGCCAAAAATTTTAAATTCACAGTTAAATCAGTGCAACTAGTACTAAGAGGTAGTCATATACTCCTAAAATACTAGGAGCTTCTTCAGAATACCCGGCCACAGTACAGTTGAATTTAAACACAGTAAGCGTCCTTTCTTTTGTCATTCAGCAAGACGTTCACCTGCTAGGAATAATAAGAGAAGCTGAGGGGGTCATCTTTTCAGGGACTTAGTTCTCTGTTGGCCAAAAGTCTGTATTTCCTTTTGTTTAAAATCTGTATTTATCATCACATGAAGACAATTAGTAAATAAAGTAGAGAGTATTTGTGTGCAAGGATTGACTTGTGTTCTCTTTATAGATAAAATTGAGCACGTTTATTCAAGCAATACTGCAAAATTTGTACATATATTTCCTATTGGTGTGAGTCATAGAAAGTTTTATGGCAGGATTGAAACTGAAAATGGCATGTTTATAATTACAAAGTTTGATGCAGTCAATAGATTTTAAAAGCTATTCAGCTCCTATTTGTTTAATGATTGTGTCAGTATGTACAAACACATGTTATTACATAATTTTCTGTATTACAAAAACTCTTTAAAATGTGAAATTTATACATGTTTACAAATCTCCTGTAATCAGTGCTTGGGTAACTTAGCGGGACACCCCTTTCCTCTCTAGTAACGCCCCTCCATTCCCCCAATTTTTCCCAAGTCAAATATGGTGTCATAGGTCTCATTATAGTTACAGTTAAACCCTGTTATAGGGACATTGAGGGGACCGTAGAAATTGTCCATTTTAATTTAGAGAAAATTTAAGGGATTTTTTCCCGGGAACAGAGCAAGCTGTCTGTAATGATCAACAAAGCTGTGCTCTAAGGAACATTGAAAGGAGTCCAGTTCTCTGAACCTGTAAAATCTAGGCTGCCCAGCATATGATTTGTATGAAAAAAATGTGAGATTTTCTATTCACACAAGAGCAAAAGTTAGGCGCCAGGGACCACCGGGCTCTGCTAAAGCGCAGCCTTGATAAGGTGTCTTTATTAAGCGGGTGTCCGTCTCAACGAATCAAGCTTCCAACCGTTTACACACAAAGCTGATATTTATGCCCAAATAAGGATACTGGTCGAAGTTCATTTACCGAGAACCTTCTAAGCGTCAAATTTCACATGTAGCTTCAAGTGACTTTTGACGAACTTTGTTGTAAACAAACCCCGAAAGTTAGGACATCCGTTCTCTTCCACATACTATATTTTTATAGACGAACCACGAGTCGCCATTTCATTACCCAAAGAATTAACTTGATGTAAGCAATAGATTTGCCCCGAAAATATATTCAAGCTTCCCAGGAAACAACCGTTTGCAAACAAAGGTGATATTTATACCCAAATAAGAATGCTGGTTGAAGTTCATTTACCGAGAAAAATTCACCTTCTGAGCGTCAGATTTCACGTGTCGTTTCACGTGACTTTTGTTGTAAACAAACTCCGAAAAGTTCAATTCGGACACGCCTTCTCTCCCACATACTGTATTTGGCAGCAAGGGATGCTGTTTATCGTACCTAGAATTTAGCAGTGTAACTTAGCAAATTAACAAATTAGCCAATTTTCGTTTGTTTAAGAGAGAATGGGAATGAATTGTTGCATGTACTCCCGAACATCAATACACGTTTAAACAAATGCATAGAATTCTTTCACGTATTTTCGGGGAAATTCTTATTTTGGAATTCGTAACAATACACGGATATTCCTAGAAAACTTCAACAGACTGTAAAACACTTTCCCTGATGCCCCTGCTAATTTGACTTCAGTTCCTCCTATTCTTGGTCATGGCATTGTCCAATTCGGCGTCTGGTCACTCTGTCCTTTTGTACAAAGACGAAGCACAGAAGGAATTTGTTACAGGAATAATGGCTAGACAAAGCAGTTGGAGTTCTCTGTAAAGCTGAGATCAATGCAATTACACCGGCGAAGACTGTAAAAGCAATTCCCCAGAATTTGCGTCTCCCAATACGTCAGGCCCACACACACTTAGCCACAGCATTAAAGTCTGTGGAAGGCGAAAAGGCACGTCAATGTGAAGAAACTGAGAGACTGATGTCCTCCATTAGCAGCTTAAAGAACAATGTTTCTGAGAGGAAAATGAAAGTAGAACAGATGAATCAACAACTTCAGGGTCTCAACCAACAAATTAAAGACAGCGAACAAAATGTTGAACAAGCGAAAAAAGCACTCAGTAATGCCCAGTATACACTTAATGATGCTGAAAGAGAGTTGACAAACAAAAGAATGGAACAAGGACTTGTAGCATACGTAGGAGTCGTGACAACACTGGCTGTTCCCATAGTCGGTTGGATTGCCGGGCCAACCATGGTGGCGGTAAGCCTTACGGTACTCGAAGATAACGTCAAATCTGCCCAAAGTGGCGTGAGCTCTGCTAAAGATAACGTAAACTATTCGGAAAACTGGTTGCAGGCAAAAAAAAGCAAGAAAAATAATCTTTCCCAGCAACTGAATAGTGAAGAAAAGGAGAAGCAGATAACAGAGCAGCGACTACGAGATCAAGAGCGTCAATTGCAAGATCTCAAAATAGCTCAACAAAGGTCCATCGAACTAAGTGATAAACTGATGAGAACGTGCCATGTAATGACAAACATTTGGGGGAAAAGCCAAGTACTGAATAACGAATCTAGCCGTGCGTACTCCTTGGAACCGTTACCGACACCTATGAAGGAAATAGTTGACATGTTTACACCTGAAGAACAGAAAGAGATAAAACAAAACACTTTTTTACTGTCGAAAGAAATCGACTTCTCTTCCATAACGTGGAAACTGAAAGCTGTTTGTGACGCAAACGCTGATAGTTCAATCATGGCAATTTTGGACGAATATTGCTAAGGTAACTATTTAGCGAGTGCTGGCATGACTGCCAATAGCATTCAAAATATCCCTTAAATTGGCAACAAAACATAACGTATATTTTAGAAATGTTTACATTTACGTTCTATAACACTTGTCACATTCAGTATCATTTATATTCCTTAGTGAATCTGTGTGAAACTTTAGTTTAGGTTTATAGTCAAAGAAAATATAAAATAATCGAGATAATCTAAATAAAACAGATTGATCAAGATATAAACTAAGTTTACGAATGCATGTTTTCGTTTTGCCAGATCAGCCGAATTCATATATTAAGACGTGGACGTAGACGGAGAACTCTAAAATATGAATTTACCTATTGGCATGGTGCGTGTATGAATTTCGTAAAGACAAGAATGAATCTTACAGATTTAGCTAAGACCCTCACATGCATGGAAAAGTTATAAATGTGTTTATTAATATGTCCGGGTAATTGCCGTAGTTTGACTAATGGTAGATCGACGGAAATATTATCCTTATCCATAATTAGTGGTGTTAGACTGTTAGCTAGAATTCAAAATGTTATTTCTCTTTTAGACTTCATTAAGTTATCGGTCTGCTGGCAACGAGTCATATTAACGTCTCAACAAGTGCTTTAGTAGCACAATTACAAATTAAGCTAAATTATCCTTTCCAAGAATGAAGTCATTGAACTGGAATAGTCCCTTAAGATAAAAGGAAAATAATAATTCACATCTTAGCATCACATGATTTCTAGGCGGGAGATTAAATGAATCAAGTATTGTTAAGAATACACCTTACCGAGAAAAAATTATTGACCTTTGCTTTGAAGGCATGATTTGTAGTTTGCATATCGAGCTTTGAGCCGCTCAAAACCTGTTATGCAAATTAGCTGGGGGCGCATTCAATGTGCAACTTAATGCCATGGTTTGACAACTCTCGGTTTTTAAGGTGTTTACTGAACGCCCTAGGACTTCAGTAAATCGACCACAAAAGAGTAATTCAAGCTACTACACTCAGTTCGTGTTCGTACTACGATCGCTAAGCATCATGGGCGTATTCAAAATCTGATCATTTGTATCAACAAGATGGCGTGGAGTGTATCTCGACTGCGGAGTGAATATTCATTAATTACGTCGTAGAAATGTACGATTTTGCTTTGAATCTCTTCTGGAAGCATTTGAAAAACAAAGTCTCGAATTCTCAGAGAAAAAACAGTCTCATTCCGTTGATAAGTGTATTCTGGTGTATTTTGTTCGTTATCACTTGCATCCTGTTTGCAACTGATCGAGAAAGTCGGCACAGAATCGCTTTGTTCAATGCTTCAGTCATTAAAAGCACTGAACGTAAGACCCGCGGTTCGCCGAAAATTTTGAATTCACAGTGAAATCAGTGCAACTATTGCTAAGAGGTACTGATATCCATAGCTGTGATAATACACTCCTAAAATAGGAGAAGGTTCTTCAGAATACCCGGCCACGGTGCAGTTGTATTTAAACACTGTAAGCTTACTTTCCTTTGTCATTCAGCAAGACGTTCACCTGCTAGGAATAATAAGAGAAGTTGAGGGGGTCATCTTTTCAAGGACTTAATTCTCTGCTGGCACCAAGTCTGCATTTCCTTTGGTTTAACATCTGTATTCATCATCACATTAAGACAAGTAAATAAAGTATTAGAGAGTATTTGTGTACAAGGATTGACTTGTGTCCTCTTTATAGATAATATTGAGCACCTTTATTCAAGCAATACTGCAAATTGGCACATATATTTCCTATTGGTATGAGTCATAGAATGTCTTATAGCAGGATTGAAACTGAAAATGGCATATTTGTAATTACAAAGCCTGATGCAGTCAATAGATTTTAAAAGCCATTCAGCCACTATTTGTTTAATGATTGTGTCAGTACGGGCAAGCACATGTTATTGCATATTTTTCTGTATTGTAAAAACTCCTCAAAATGTGAAATTTATACATGTTTACAGATCTCCTGTAATCAGTGCTGGGGAGACCCCTTTCCTCTCTTGTAATGACCCTCCCTTCCCCCAATTTTTCCCAAGTCAAATATGGTGTCATAGGTCTCATTATATTTACAGTTAAACCCTGTTATACGGACACTGAGGGGACCGTAGAAATTGTCCATTTTAATTTAGAGAAAATTTAAGGGCTTTTTTCCCGGGAACAGAGCAAACTGTCTGTAATGACCAACAAGGCTGTGCTCTAAGGAACATTGAAAGGAGTCCAGTTCTCTGAACCTTTAAAATCTAGGCTGGGCGGGCTCTGCTAGAGCACAGCCTTGATAAGGTGTCTTTATTAAGCGGGTGTCCGTCTCCCCGAATCAAGCTTCCAACCGTTTGCAAACAAAGCTGATATTTATACCCAAATAAGGATACTGGTCGAAGTTCATTTACCGAGAACCTTCTGAGCGTCAGATTTCACGTGTAGCTTTACCTGACTTTTGATGAACTTTGTTGTACACAATCCGTGAAAAATCGGACATCAGTTCTCTCCCACATATTGTACTTTTATCTACGAACTACTGGGCGCCATTTCATTACCCAAAGAAATAACTTCTCATGTAAGCAATAGATTTCCCCGAAATATATTCAAGCTTCCAAGGAAACAACCGTTTGCAAACAAAGGTGATATTTATACCCAAATAAGGATGCTGGTCGAAGTTCATTTACCGAGAAAAATTCACCTTCTGAGCGTGAGATTTCACGTGAAGTAAATAAACCCCGAAAAGTTCGGACATGCGTTTTCTCCCACATACTGCACTTGGCAGCAAGGGATGCTCTCGGCTTTTGAGGTGTTTGCCGAACGCCGTAGGACTCCAGTAAATCGCCCAAAAAAGAGTAATTCAAGCTACCCTATTAAAACTGAAATGAAAGTGACCACAATTTCCGGGCGGTCTGAATGGGGTTAACTGACTAGCGACAAACGGCGAAAAATATAACTGACTACCGACGAAATGAGACAAAAATTACGACTACCGACAAGAAAAATATTAAACGACAACTGACATGGTCCGTAGACTGCCAGCAGTCTCTTATTTTTCTTTTGAGACGTTAATTTTCATACCTTTTCGCTCGCTGTGCGTGGCTCTGAGAAAAGAACAGGGCGGAAGGACATGGCTGTCTACGTGGTCCGACATTGTAGGGATGTTTTTACTCAGAAATAAAAAGTATTTTTTTATTTCTTATTTTTATCAAAAGTATTCGTGAAGGAAAAACACTTTAAATCCCAATTTCAGTTCTTTTAGAATTTCCTGTGATCAAATTCCTTGTGTCAAATTGTTATAAAATTGCGTAGGTTTTTTCCTGGCCTGTATAGAGGACTGCCTATTTCGTGCCAGCAGCTCAAGCTCATTTGAGACCGTTCAAATTGTGCGCTTTTGTTTCTCCTCCTTTTCGGAGAAAATCCGAGGAAAGCGCGCGCTCATAATAAAATAGTCATCAGCCAACCAAAACAAAATCTATGTTGGCGGTGGGAAAGCGATTACGGAAAGGTTTGGACAGTACTGAAGCGAATCTGAATCTTTTTTTTAGTGGGGCTATTATTGAACAGGTTAAAAGCCAGAAGCTTCCCGGTATTCATATCAACCAAGATCTTCACTTCGACGCTCGACGCTATGTAAATCGTTATCAAAGAAAATTGGACTTCTCAAGCACATTAGTGCATAGTTAAAAAGATCACATAAGGAGCTCTACTATGATACTGTACTTAAACTATCTTTCCTTTATGGATCGAGTGTGTGGTCATCTACGAACAAGGTAAATTTGGACAAAGATCCGTGGACCTGATTAATACACTTAATTGGATTTTTTTTTTATAGTGATTCTCACATAAAAAAAAATCGATGCGCACTCATTCACAAGAAACTTAAAGGAAACACTGCTAATTATATGAATGAAATCGAACTTCTAGTTATCAATTCTAGCTTGTATATGAGGAATACAAGATTTGTAATTTAAGTTTGCTTTGTCCTAGATATATTATGTCACGAAGGGTGGTCGTTCTTTTACAGTTTGTTCTATTAAGGATTGGAACTCCATTTCAAGATCTCTGAGAGTTTTGGACAGCAACTCACGTTTTAAAAAAAGCCTTTTTAAGAAATTTTTAGTTACTCAGAAAAAGGACTTAAGTTAACTTTTTAACATATATAATTTTTGCATCTTGACTTATCACGATATTGTGGATGTTTTAATCTGTATCTATATCATTCCTAATACATTTTTATGACTTAAGTTCATGAAAGGCAGAATTAGTGCAAGTATTTTTTTTAATTTTTCGAGGGCAACTGGGTTATCAGTTGTTAATACTGTCATGTGCTACCCTCTCTAAATAAAGTCACTAGCTAGCTAGCTATCTATCTATCTATCTATCTATCTATCTATCTATCTATCTATCTATCTATCTATCTATCTATCTATCTATCTATCTATCGATCGATCGATCGATCGATCGATCGATCTATCTATCTATCTGTCTATCTATCTATCTATCTATCTATCTATCTATCTATCTATCTATCGATCGATCGATCGATCTATCTATCTATCTATCTATCTATCTATCTATCGATCGATCGATCGATCGATCGATCGATCTATCTATCTGTCTATCTATCTATCTATCTATCTATCTATCTATCTATCTATCTATCGATCGATCGATCGATCGATCGATCGATCGATCGATCGATCGATCTATCTATCTATCTATCTATCTATCTATCTATCTATCTATCTATCTATCGATCGATCGATCGATCGATCGATC